GAACTAGTTAACTAGTTGAGTTAAGTTAATACCAAAATGTCTAAAGTTGACGAGTTGATGAATATATAAGATTGTATTCAAAGCTTAGCTTATGAATTTTTAGTTATTCCAAAGTTATTCTGGACACTATAATGTCAATCTAACTAACTTGATTGACGAACTGAGATGACTCTCATGAGATGATAAAAGATAAGCTCTTATTATTTTAGATATCAAGTTACCGCATTATGATCCTAATTTCAATTTTTAAAATATTGTATAACTTTATAGGATAGGCATATCAATAGAAATATTTTACAGAGTTACTTATTTCAATATGTAATAGAAAAGAAACAAGCTACCATATCGACCATTAACTTATTATAATTATTAATTTTTTATAGCCGATTTAAAAATAAAACATATATTTAACATTATGTTCTTACATTTTTCATATGTTAAGTAGGTCCTTTTGATATGTGACAGTACTTTTAAGGCTTATGGTCCATGATAACAAAAGTTTTGATTTTATGGCTCAAGAAAAAAATTTGAAACTAATGTTCCATCACAAGTACACAATTTAAACATAGATTGAAACGTTTAAAACGAAAGAGATTTGAACTCGTGAAAACAGATTGCTTACAAGAATATATTCCCTGAACATCGATGCTGTATTAGAGTTGTCGTAAGGATCTTCGTTTATGCCCTCATAAGGGCACGGTAATTATACGATAATTGTTTGAATTGCGATTTCAATGGATTTCAGTGGCATTCTCCAGTTTAGTGAAGGCGCTTGAAATTTCGAAGACGAACTATTTCTTTAATGTACTACGTCAAAGATATTTCGATTAAGAAAAATTGAGTGATTTTATATATTCTAGATAACATAGTTATTCAAAGTGTTGTAAAAAAAAGTCTTTTAAATGTTAAGTTCGCAGCTTTATGAATATGTTAAAATGTATAGTCTTTATCACCAACAATGATAGTTTGTTTTATAATAAAGAATCTATAATTAAGGGAAAAAGATAATATGTATATAATATTTACTTTACGAAAAACATCGACTGTCCAAAATAGTGACTTAAAAATTAACTCTCACTATAACTAAACTTTTAGCAATTCCATCTTAGACCTATAATGGTGTTCTTTATGTTTATTTGTTTATTTTATTTAAAGTAAAAAAAAAATGTGATTTATAGTATTTTGAAATAGAGAGTTCAGTTACTGCGACCTTTGCAGCTCATATTATGGTGGATTGAATATATAAGTACATAATTATAATACTATAAGAATGGAAACTAACAAAATTAAATTAATTTTGTCATTAAACGGCTAAAATTTCTGTTAAATTAAATGCGAAGCTAAACATTTTCTCTTAATTGTTTTGAATAAATTTTTCATATCAATTTAAAGCATCTCTATTTTTCTAAGGCCCTGTTGACATTTAGTGGAATAACACCAAGGAAGATTGTAAAACATTTTAGATAACTTATTTTGTTAAACTGCAGTTGAATTTAGAAGAACTATTTCTCATCTTAGTTTAAACCATCTCTGTTTTTGCTAATTCATATAGGCTTCTAGTAGAGATCCAACAAAGAAGGTGTAAATCATTTTAAGCACCTTATTTTACTAAACTGCAGTTGGTACTAGAAGTACTATACCATGTTGGGGAAACATAAAATACTATGGGAAGAAACACAACCTTTATAACTAATATTTTATTTCAAAAGTTAAATTTTAATCGTGTGTTGATAAAAGAGTTCAAGATCTTACTAATTTTATTTTTCAAATCTAAATATTTATAAAAGATATAAAATATAATGTAAAAATATAACATAAGAGATTTACTTCCCCACAAATAAACTTCATATACAGTTTCAATAATGTCAATATTTAAGCATGCGAATGATATATTTAAGTACATTAGAAGAGAAGAGAAAGAACGGGGTACTAGCTCTCTTAAATATATTGATGTATATTTTTCTAGATATCTTTAATTCTTTAATATAAAAACTTTGCACTTTAAGTAACTAAAGAATCCCTTCTGCTTTGGGGTATTTAATTCAAATTTAAATTAGTTAGATCACTAAATATTTTCTGCTCTAATTTGTAATACTTAAATTTCCCGGGAAACAAACCCAATAACGAATGCCTCAAATATTAATATTTTCCATATATATAGTTTATTTTTTTTGTTTTATTTAATTATTAAATTAATTATAATTGTGCACACTAATTTTACTTCCGTCAATGTTGTACGAGTATAGTGGTAATCGATGGTATTTATTGCATGTGTCACGAGATGATTTATGTTATTAACCAATCACCAAATAAACCAATAAGCCACCTACGGTCACATTTGCCGGCACTCGTCCCTTAAATATTTGCTAATAGCTGTCATTGTTGATTTTGACCCATTGTTTTGTTTTCGGTTTAGCAGTAGTTCGTTAATTCAAGGACAATTCACTTAAAAACTCTTTCCGGTAACTTGTCGACATGTGTTTACTTACGTATCCTTATGTGCGCTTTGGGAGGGCACTAGTAACATTCCGAACATTCTTTCTAACCTCAAAGTATTAAGCAAACATTTTATTTAAATTATGCGACAGGATGTCAGTCAACAGACAAGAAAATAAGTTAATTTCGTTTCCCTTGAAATGTTTAATTATTCTCAGAACAAAATTATAAACAGAATGTGCTTAAAATGCAACAGGATATAGTTTTACAAATTCCTCGAAAGTTATAGAATTAATTTGAAATTTGTTTATACATATTTTATTTATTTACATATTTGTAAAATCACCCACCCAATGTTTCTTTGACTTCGATACTGCGTATAACCCACGCATGCTGATTATTATGAAAAGTGGAAGATATATATATACGTACCATAATTACAATTTAGAATGATAAATTAATATCTAAAATTAAAATTAATTTACTGGAAAAAGTCATTTAATAAGAATTTTCGAAGGATAACCTTACAATACTAACAAAATGGCTTCTGTGTATTATATTTATAGATATCTATTCTCTGTACATGTTAAGAATAAATGTTTAGGGAATTGTGATTGGGATGAGTTCTTTCATTTTTTATATAAAACGAATAACAAGCCTTGAAAAGCTAACAATGAAGTAAAGTGCAGTTATACACATAAGTGTAATTAGTAAAACCAAATAAAGATATATTTTTTTACGTTAAAAGTATGACAATTTTGCCACCTTATGCACAAATATTATTATTAGTCGTATTCCAACAGAAGCTTAGACTTGTTGCACAGAATCTTCAACTATTTGTGTCTATAGCAATATAAAGTAATTCATTTAAAGATTTGTCAGCTTCATTTGTTATCGCTCTTCTCCAGATGTTACATAGTCTTCCTCTGTTTCTGTTGCCTTGGGGTTCCATAGAACTGTTGCGTGGCATTTTTCGTTGTACGACTTTCGAAAAGCATGGCCAAGCAAATTATATTTCGAACGCTTGACTTGTTTTTTGATATATTCTTGGTTTGTTCGTTGAAGTTCCATATTTGAAATTCTACTTCGCCACCAAATTTTCAAAATATTACACAGGTATCTGTTGGTCAAGCTTTGGATTACATAGAGGCATTGTAAACATGAATTTTTGTTTAAAGAGATATTTCATTTGAATTCCATATACTATGAATGCTATTCTGGCTTTTGATATTCTTATATCCAAATTTCTTGTTGCGTCTCAATGTGTCTTAACGGAGTTACCTAAATAACAGAACTCATTGACGTACTCGATTGATCTACCCTCAGATATGTACAGATAGCAACATACAAATTTATTATATATTATATCGTAAATACATCATTTATAATTTATCCCCTTCTTTTACGAGTATTTCGATATTCATCTGATTGATAACAGTTACTTTTACAAATCACCTCTCAACTTGCTTTAGTGATTCGTTTCTGAATAATCAACCGTATTCAAGTTCTATATTGATAACAACCGTGTATTCAATTTACCACAGTTTTTATTGTCTTTTCAAAACACTGATGACTGATTATATAGCCAAAAGACTTACAAACATATCTTTAATTGAATCTGAACTCTTTAAAATTACCTGGAATGATAGAAATATAAATTTTCCGAACGCCATTTTCCATATCAAGCAAAACAATCCTATATTTAGATAAAGGTAGATAAAGCTAGATAAACTTAAGGATTCTAGCTTGTTAGCTTGCAGCTAATTGCAAAATAAAATTTATCACTTGAATAAGTTTGATTTTTTGTGAGGCCGACATTGAAAGCAAATAGCACTTTCTTTGTGAGTGCGTGAGTATCATCCATAGCTATACAGTCCATGTCCAGTCCACATCTCTTAGATCTTGTCGAACATTGTCACTCCATCACTTTTTCGGTCTTTATTCTCTGCTTGCGGTTCTAACTTCACTCTCAAAGACTCATGCTGCTGCTCTTTCTTTTAGCATTCGCAGTACGTGTGCTTTTTTGTGTGCTTTATTATTGTGTCATCTTCCATCAGTTTATCGAGTTCATCATTATATCTTATGTGATATTCTCTGTCTTCTTGCACTAGTTCAAATATTTATCTCATATCCTTTTTTTAAATACTGCCAATTTGCTTGTTTCGGTATTAAATAACCTAAGGGCTCACTCCCATAAGTGACTACAAACTGTATAACTGTTTTATATAACAATATTTTGATTTTTCTAGACATATTATAGTTTTAGATGTTATGAACTTTCTCACATTATGAAAGGACCTATTTCTAGTTTGTATTCCATCGTGGATATTTAACGTCGTTGTGTTATTCTCGTTGAATGCTGCTTCTAAATATTTAAAGCTGCTCCATTGACAAAGAATGTCCATGCTCCATTCTGCAGGCACTTTTTCTTTATTCCACATTTTTTGTAAAAAATTTATTAGCATGTCATTTATTATTTATAAGTATATTCGTATATAAATAGATCTGTCATACGTAAACATAATATCTATCTTATTTAATATGTCTTTTTCTTTGAATTTCAGTTTCAATTTCAAACATGCCTCATCCAGTATGCAAATTTATGTTTCTCAGTTTCACAGCCTGCGTTTTAGTGTATTTACCACAAATTTTAGCTTATCCAGGCGAGAGTTATCATCATCGCGATGGACTACATACACCATGTACATTTTTTGATACCGTCAATGTGACAAGTGATACGAAATTTGAAAATGGTTCATATTTGCATGATGGTGTCTTGATACCAAGACATTTGGTTGGCTTATACGATTATATTTACAAGGACTTAGTTACACGGGAAGAGGTGCCACCACATTATCGTGGGTGTATATGTAAAGTGAAACCTTGCATCAATTTTTGTTGCCCGTGGGGCACAATTTACAATTCAAATCTGAGCTCATGTGTTAATACAAGTGAGGAACATCAATGGCCAGAACCAACAATCAATATAACACTACCAGATAGTTCACTCAAAACAGTCAACATATTTGAACAATTCGCAGTGCAAAATTTTCGTCCATGTAAGATAATGTTTTCTTTAATACCAGAGATGTATTACTACGATGGCTGGGAACTATTTTCAGTGAGTGTTAAAGATATATTTTATGTTAAGTGTATGTTCTGAAAGAAAAAAATATTTAAATGCTTTATTATACCATAGAATGGCACAATGTTCCGTTTGGATGATGAAATTTATTTTGTTAAAAACGAATTTTGTTTAGTACCTACTGTGGTCAATGAAACAGATTTGTTTTATAAAATAAATCCAGCCAATTGTAAGGTTTCCTCAGAGTATGGTACCATGAAAATCATAAATGCTTATGGTAAGTTTTAGATAAGCAATATTTTTTAGGATTATTTTTTGTAATTAATATATTTAAGAAGTATTTAAGAAATTGATTTTCTTTTTTTATTTCTCAGCTATGCTTTTTTCCATACCATTTATGGTATTGACCATAGTGGTTTACCTTTTAATACCCGAACTGCGTAATCAACATGGAAAATCTTTGGTTTGCTATTTGATGGGCTTAATTGTCGGGTACACTCTACTGAGCTCTACTTCTCTACTCAATGATTTATCGCCAGGCAGCATGTCTTGTAAAATTATAGGTATAAATTTTACATATTCTAATTCAGGTGTTAATATATTATGGTTATGCATTTAATTTAATATTATTTAGGTTACACTGCTTATTACTTTTTTATGGCAGCATTTTTATGGCTGAACGTTATCAGCTTTGATTTATGGCATAATTTTCGTGGTACACGTGGCATCAATCGATTACAAGAGAAAAAACGCTTCTTGTTCTACTCGCTTTATGCTTGGGGCTTAGCAGCTGTTTCCTTAGTATTTACTTGGTTTGCTGAAGAACAACTGGATGTATCGGAGTACTACAAGCCTGGCATTGGAAGTGAATATTGTTGGTTAGATAGTGAGTATATTTGAATATTATTTTCATAATAAATAATCAATAAATAATTAAATACCTGCGAATCGTGGAATAACATTAGCATGACTTTCTCAATATTACGTTCCTAGATCAGGTTCTATACATAAGAAATAATCTATAAATCACACAACAAATAATGCCTCTACAAACGGAATAGTATTAAATTTAACATCATTAATTATTCTGTAGCTGGTTTATGATTTCATTCTAATATAAACACAGCAAGTGAATTTGTTAATAAAACTTTCACAGATTATTAAAACTCTAGAAAAAATCTGCGAACATAAAAGTCAAGTACGGGGGCTTGGGGGTCAGTTGGTTAAGGTCACTGACTCTGAGCTTCAAATTTGGCAGGGCATGAGTTCGATTTCTTGTATTTGCAGTCTCGAAAAATTATTTACGAATAATTAAATACAAGCATTATATCCAAAACCACTAATAATAGGTATTTGGCAATACTCGAAACAGCTGTATGATCAGTCAAAAATTCAATTAATTATAATAATATAAAAATGAATTTTTGTTGTTGTACTTCACTACTACAATAGAGTTAAGTGAAATAATTAAATAAAATAATTAAATAAGAGGGTATTTTTTAATTACATTTATTTTGTTTTGCACCTCACACAAGATGGGATTTTTCTTTTTAAGTTGTATAGCCGAAAATATATATGAGAAGATTTTTTTAATTAATCGATTTAAAATTAAATAAAGAAGAATAACGAATTAGCTCTTTAAGTTGTATAGCTGAAAATATATATGAGAAGATTTTTTTAATTAATCGATTTAAAATTAAATAAAGAAGAATAACGAATAAGCTTAATGTACCTCTTGACTTATCCATCGTGGGGACACACAACATATAAAACAATAAAACCGTCAAAGATGCTATACGTTATGATTGGATATGATTGGTTAAAACAATAAGGTTACTGTGATAGTCCACATCCATCGTGATGACATCGTGACAGTTCACATCCATCGGGATGTGGACTGTCACCCTGATTAGTTTCACTTTTATTTAGCTTCCTTCTAAAGCAAAATATTCGTATATATGAAATTATATTTTTAAATTCTTTCATATGTACACTATAAATTAAACTCTAATAATTCTAATACTTTTACGTATATTTTTTAGTGAGAACTTGGTCTGCTATGATCTACTTTTTTGGACCCATACTAATTATCATTCTTGCAAATACGGTTATGTTTGTCATGACAGCTATGAAGATACACAAAGTGCAAGTTGAAATGGCACGGATAATGGCAAGAGAGGATAGTACCAGAAATTTACGCACGGAAAAGGACAAGTATAAATAGAGCTTTTAATTTTTTTTTGAATAAATTATGCTTAAAAATAATTTTCTTTCAGATTTGGACTATTTTTGCGACTTTTTATTGTAATGGGTGTTACTTGGTGCTTAGAAATAATGTCATATTTTGTTGGTCCCGATAAAGCTTGGGCAAAAATATTTTATATTACTGACATTTGTAATGCCATACAAGGTTTCCTTATATTTATGCTATTTGTTATGAAAAAGAAAGTTAAACATCTAATAACAAACAGGTGAGTGGACGACTTTAATGATTCACAAGTAATTGTGCTGTCCAATGACATATAATTTCATAAATATAACAGTAGTAAGATATAAAATTTCAAAAATATTATTTTGGAATTCATATACTGTTAATTATTCACATATATATATATTAAATTATTATCATTATTATTAGAACAATGCGCGTTCGTAGTTATCGTCATACTGAAAGTACCACAATTCGCACCTCTTCAATGCGTCAGAGATTTCGCGATGTTT